TTATGTAATATTATAATATGTTTTACAATATTGTAATTATATTAACCATTTTAATAATATTATTATATTCTATATCATAATTATATAATATGTTATTTAATAATAGTTTTATTGTATTATATTAAATATAATAATAAATATACATTATATTGTAATTATATATATTATTTTATAGTATAATATAATATAATCGTTTATTATTTTAATAATATTATTATATTCCATATTATAGTTATATAATATATTATATAATAATAGTTTTTTGTATTATATTAAATATAATAATAAATATATATTATATTGTAATTATATATATTATATTATAATATAATATAATATAATCGTAATATTTAACTATTCACAGCAATTCAACCTCATAATTTATCAAATATTATTACACTAATTTTAAAATTAGCGCAACTATTATAATTATAATTTACCAAATACTCAGTTACTTTTTGTAACAGCTGCTTCTTCTTTAACACAGTTAAAAATAATTTTTTTTAAATTTACAGCACTACTAAACTGAGCCTTTTTCTAATAAGTGGAAAAGTTTTCTCCACTCTTACCACAAAATTCTCAAACAAGTGATACATAGATGATTTCTTTGTATGGTCACGTTGAGTTTGACATACGCAATAATCAATAATAACAACAACATCGAAGAAAACCAATATATGAGAATATGAAAATAGAAACCTTATACTTAATGGCTTAATATTAACTATAATACTTTTTTTCTTTTTTGCTGAAAATGTATAATACTTCTTAAAACTTGAGTAGACTCCCCCAAATTAGATCCACAATTTTTTCTTAAAAAAAAAAAATTTTTGAGGATTTTCACATGTTATTGCTCTCATCCTCCTCTCTCCACATCTCAACCCAATTTTGTTGTACTTCTTCCAACCCAAGAAACGAACCTCTCTTCTCCGCATCCCAGCTGGTAGACAAAGCCGCATATGCAAGCCCAAGCGCCGACACCGAGAACATAAAAAACGCCGTCAGCAATGGCAGCCACATCGGAATATCCCACAAGTGCCGCTCCTTAACCACGTCGAAGAATTTCAACGCCGCCAAGCCACCGGCCAATGGGACCCCGACAGAGACCGCGATTCTAACCATCATTCTCTCGAACACGACCTGTGGAATTTCTTCGTCGTCTCTGTTGGTTCCCAGCTTGTCGGCGCTTTCCTTAATGGTCGGCGCCGGTGGCGTCGTATTGATTCGACCAAAGCCTTTGGCGTTGGCATTTGGTCTGTGATGAGTACTTGTTGGTTTTCTGCTATGGTTTAGGCTTTGTGGGGCTGTGGGGCGGAGAAATGTTGGGCTCTTGGGTTTCCATGGTTGAGAGTTTGAGATGCAGAGAGGTGGTTTAGTGGATGAAATTAGAGTTTTCATGGTTTACTAAAGTCAGTAACTAATATTGTAGTTCCATTATAGCAGGTGACCCAGTCTTTATGTTATTATGGTTGTATATCTTATCCAAAACTAAATGAATGGAGATCATTTTTCCTGTAATATCCTAAGATATTTCTAAGATTTTTTTCTTAAAAAAAAATGCTGGTTATATTTCATATTATGAGATGTTTTTTTGTTTGATATCAAAAAGAAAATGCTCGTATACACTCATATCGTTTTCTGACCTAGTTAAAGCCAAAAAAAAAAAAAGAAAAGAAAGAAAGACACGTATTCTTTATTGTTTGTTGTAAACAACATATGTCGTTTATATTTTGAAGTTTGTGGTCGTACATGATAATGCGACATGTCGTTTCGATGAGGCCTGCTATCGTTTAATGCAGACACGACGTGTAGCTTACCCTTTCAAATTTTGCCAAATTATGATAAAAAATAATAATAATTTGGACTGGCGCACCTTATATAACTTCAATTCTTAAAAAAAAAAAACTTTAAACTTTTATGGTATTTAGGACTCTAATTCTGATAATCCTAAATTTGAGAAAAAAAAAAATTGCAAATAGGTTTGTGAACAAAATATAAGGATCTAATTAATTTTTGTTTTAATTTTTAAAAAGATACAAGATATCGTTGTGTTTTCATCTATTTCAAAATATGACGCGTCGTACATCTTCATAAAAATAAAATTAGTCGCCAATGATATAAAAGTTTTTTTGTCTTTCAAGCGAAAAACTACACGTCATTTTTGAGTTAGATACTTCAGAAAAAATAAGGCATTAATGGTTAAAAGATTTTATCTTTCCTTCGGAAAACGATGTGTTGTTTTTGAGCCAGATATTTTATGTTAAAGCTATTACTCGACGTGTCATTTTTATTAATGTAAGAAGGACATATCTTCTTTGATCACGTAAGAGTTTGTCATCAAAACCATAAAAACGACATATAGCGAGGTTAGAACATTGATTGGGAGCAATGATGCAATTTATTTTAACATTATGGGATGCGAGTCATGATCTTACATAGCTCCTTGACACAAATGACCAACATGAATATTTTCCAACACTCATTACGCTTGATCAAAACAAGAGACCAGAATAAAATTTTATGCTTGTAAACATATGTTTGGTGACCACCATCTTGTCAATGAGTAGAGGAGTGTTAATTACGGAACATCACTAGGCAGTTGTAGACTATCATACAACACTCTCAAGAGCTGCCAAGAAAGAATTGTTGGCATGAATAAGAACGGTGTGTGTGAGTGTGTACAGTGATCTAACAGAGACAACAAAAACAAATTGATGAAAACATCAATAACATGATTGAGGAGCGCAGAGACGTTTGGTTTATGAATTCAGAATCATTCTCAATTTACGTGTGTTTTTTGTGAAAGAAAATACTATAACGAACCGTGATTCAAATCATAACACGAATACAACAACCAAATGCATATGACGGGAGGTCCACAAGATGCGAGCTGCAGAGCTTGTTGGTGCAGTTGGTGAACTTGGCAGGGACTTTCCCTTTGAAGAAGACAAAGTTGATCCTCTCAGTGGCGTCTTAATATGCCTGAAACTGCGTGAACCAATCGCTGAAGCACGCGCAGATAACGGATACTACTCTAAGTTTAGGGTCGACAAGGAAGCTATTCTTGGAGATCTTGGAACTACACAACTTCTTGCATATATATAGAGGTTTGATTTTTAGTCTGGAAAAGAAGAAAGGATTTAAACTTAATACCAATAGGTGATAACAGATTCAATACTAAAAAGGAAAAAGATAAAGACTAAAGTTACTTATTGTGGATATCAACTTATGCATCAGTTTCATCCAATATCTTTTCCCACAAAACAGAATATAAAGCTTTCATTGGCTGTCTATGTCGTCCAGTGTCGCAAATTGAGCAAGTTTGTGATGTAAAATTCAGATTAATGAACATGGAATTATCAACCTGTAACAAGGCCTCCATAACATCTTCCAATGTTATAATGCCAATAACTTCCTCGTCCAAATTACTTGGCTGTTCCTCTAAATCTTTCAACGATACTTTTCCTCCTGATCTTCCTCTCCATCTCTTATCATGTGCTTGGAAATTCTTGTCTTGTTCCATTACATTCTTCAGCGTCGCGCTTTGAAGCTCGATTTCACTTGAATACAAAGGGGACGTTTCTGTGGAAGTACTTAGGTGCTCCTCCTGAGCAACAATGCCTGTGCATTCAAAAGCCAAAAAGCTTGAATATTTTAAGGCCCCCCCCCCCCCCTTTTTTTTTTTTTTCCAATTCAAATCATAACTCTTACTTTTTACTTTAGTATTTTCTCACAAAAATTTAAAAATTCAACCTTTTTGCTATAATGTTTTATTAACATAAATTCTCTTTTCAACTCAAATTCTCAACTCAAACTCGCGAAAAGAACGAGTCAGAAATCTCTTTTCATTGCTCACATGAAGCTTGAGAAAAAAAATAAATTACATAAAAATAAAGTTTTACCTTTCTTCACAGATTGGTTTTGATATAATTCAGCATTCGTATTGAGCATGCCAGACTCGCCTGTTGCATTATTTTCAGTGTTTTCAGTGTCCTCACACTTCACAACAACAGCCATATGGCAGTGACCCATCAGGAACTGATTTAGTATATCATATAATGGCCAATCTTCATAAACCCTGCTACAGAATAAGCCAATTTAATAGTTAAGACATCTTCAGCAAAATAAAATGAAAAAAAAAAAAAATAAGACCAGCAAGAATACTGACATATTGATAATCAAAAAAGTTGTCTAAATAGAGGCAAGCATTTCCTAATAGTGAGTATAATAATGTGTGTGTATATCATAACCTATCACAAAAAGTTATAATCACTCAAATGCATAGATGAACAACTGGGGTAGCTCATAACCAGTGAAGGTCTGCTGATTCTCAGTCTCTAACTCTGCCGGATCATTAGCGGGACTCAGATTATAAAATCTTAAATTAAAAACTGGCTGAGACTAGAGATGAGAAGCCAGTTTCTGTCGGGTGACGAGTCGAAAACGCATGGCACACGTGCAGTCCTATGTTATTGGATATTTTCTACTGGATGCTTAACTCAGTGGAGGTTCATGTTGGGAAAAAACCTCATTTGTTAGAGGCTTTTACTGTGGGAAAAAGCTAAGACATTGAATATACCTTGTTCAATGAGCAATGTTATAAAACATCGGCAGTATTTAGCACTATTCACTAATAAAATGTGAGTCTTATAATATGAGATTTATAAGTGTGGTTCACCTTCTATTAGTGATGATGCTTAATATCAATGATGTCTCTCAACATTTTTCTTGTTCAATAAACAAATAAATGGGATTGATATTGTTGAAAGTCAAGTCTGGTTGAGCACAACACTCCTGATTTCCAACACATGGCACACTAGGACTAAGTCAACGCACCATAGCCATTAGAGGAAAAATCAGGTATACCTGCCTTTCATACATCAACGACGGGCTAGAAACTAGTTCTAAGTTACCTCAGAAATTTACCATTACGCAGTATAAGAAACAAGGAATTCCATGTGAATGTAAAGAACGGCTTGGAATGTGATGAGTTAAAACGAATAACAACTAATTTATGCATATGGGATGCATGCAATAGTACACTTCAAACTTTTGAGATAGAAGTCACCTGTTGCATTGAGATTAAGCATGTTATCTAGCTATTGTTTCTTTTAGGGTATTTTACACATTTGCCCTATAAATTTGCATGGCTGTAGCAATTTGTCCTCTAAACTTTTAATTTTGATAAGTTACCGCTCAATTTATAAAATTATTGCAATATGTCTTATTTTGACAATGATTGTATTAAATTAATGCCGAAAAAACACGTTCGATGAAAAATTCTAACATCCCTATTCAAATGTAACACAAATATTTAATTTCTCAACTTTTAATCTCTTAAATCTAATAAAAAATTAGAACAAATTTAATAAAATGGGACACATTACAACAATTTTATAAGTTCAAGAAGTTAATTGCAAAAATTAAAAATTTAAGGAATAATTTGTTAAACACAATAAGTTCGAAGGGTAATTATACTAAAAACTTTCTTTTATATGTATTGTTGTTTCGAGTAACACTATCACTTTGAAAATTTTAGGGAATTAATTGTTATCATGTCCTTGATTATTTTTGTTATAATAACACCATCTACATTGAATATGTTAATTTCAATACAATATATGAAAAATGAAAAATGAAAAAAAATAACATGCTTGATATACTATTCTAATACTCTAATGTGTAATGACATTTCAAAGGTCATATATACTTTTTGTGATGATTATTAGGATTTGAAACTTATAAATGTAAGCTTTTAATATTAAAATAATTTTTTAAAAATAATAGTTTAATGATTAAATAAAAAAGTTAATATAAACTAATAATACTTAAATGTTAAATTTAATATTTGTTATATTTTATGGTATTTATTAAAATTTAAGAGAAAACATAATACAAATATTAAAATTTGACCTTGGCACTTCAATTGGAATGCTCATATAGAAAATTAGGTGAGGGTTGATTTTGACTAACCCATTTTTTTAGGACCCATTTAGAAAGTATACTCGAACTATGATTTTAACGTTTAAAATTTAAATTCTTTGTGAGAACAATGTAATAGAATTAATTATTTAAGTTTAAATATATGAAATAAAATACCCTTATTATTAATTTACTATTAATATTATTAATTACTTTGAATATTATCATCTATTAATAGTATAGAAAAGCTTCTAATATTAAAAAAAAAGCTTCTTAAAGGAGATTAATAAATGCATAAAAGTTAATTTTTTAAAACGTGAGTTTAGAATCAAGCAGAATAAGTATGAAATTATGCGATTCCAAATCACGGAAAATAAACTATAAATAGAAAATGTACTTTTGGCTTACAGCGAAATCTTTTGGTTCTCTGTTGCCTTTGGCTTCCCTCCCTTCAAAAATTCAACTTCCCGCTACTTATACCAGAAAACTCCCTTTAAAAAAATTCAAAATAATAAAACCCAGAAAACTTCAAGAATAATAAGCAATTCGGTTGCCATGGACGATATTGATCGGCTGTTTGAGTGCTTCAAGTGCGGCATTTCTCCTCCTGGTATTCCCATCTCATTCTGTGTCCCTCTTTCCCGTTTGGTTGCTCGGAAAACAAAATAAAATGAACCCAAAAAAAATAAAAAAAATTTGTATATGAATCCTAGTCATTTTTTCCCTGATAGCAATTTCTTGATTTCATTTATTTCAATTATGAAAAAGAAATCCTCTTTGTGTTTTCAATCTCAGAATCTGCTGTAAGAGAGAGAAAGCGAAGTAGAAGCAAGCTGAAGCAGGCGAGCTCTTCACACGATGTCTCTGCAGAATCCGAAATTCTATCTCCAGGATCAGCAGCGCGAAAACATGAGAAAACAGCTAACATACAACCTTCTTTAGACAAAGTATTCAGCTTTTGATTTATTTCGTTTTATGCCTTTATCGTTTGGTTGTTTCATTTGCATCTTTCACAGAACTGAAAACTGAATATTGGGTGTGTGGAACTTGGCTTTGTTTGGTAGGAGGAATGAAGAGAGTTAGAAGGATGAAAAATGTGAAGGATAGAGAGAATTATAATAATTCTTTATATTCTTTCGTAGGATGGAGGAAGAATTGAATTGATAGATGATAATTTTTTATTTAATTATTATATTGTTTATTTTACTATTTGTTAAAAATTACTTGTGAAGGGTAAAAAAGACATTTTTTTTAAATTTTGAGTAGATAGGTTGGATCCTTACATTAATAGAAGGATCTAAAATAGTGAGCCCAGAGGGAGAGTCTCTCCCTCCATCTCTCCTCTCCCTCTTCTTATCCTTCTTACCAAACAAGAGATTCACTCTCTCTCCACTCCTTTCTCTCCCTCTATCTCTCCCTCCTTCCTACCAAACATACCAACAATTATCGCCCTAATTATACATATATTAGAGGGAACATGTTTTAGAAACTAGATGAGATAGAAATAATAGTGAGTTCGAGAGGGGCAATATGCTAGAATGATTTTTCAACAAAGTAAAATTAGTAAAATGACATTTTTCTATTTTTTATGAAGAAAGACATTTACTCACTCTTTATAAAATGAGGTCATTTTACAAATAAAAATTTTTAAAAAGTTATTTTACTAATAAAACTTTTTAAAAGAGTTATTTTTACAAAGCCCTCGTTCGAGAGACTTGAGGTTTATGATTTCAATTTTCTTCGTTAGAGTGAAAATTCTACGATGACTGAAAGTGGACATAGCTCTTACGTTGAGAGCATATCATTATAAATTTTGTGTGTTATTGACTGTCTTTCTTTTATATTACTGATTTGTTACTAAAAGATTGGAGCGTCTAATCCGTAACACTGATTTATGCTAAAATCTATGTTGTTCAGAGTGGTTCAAAAACAGTTAAAGCGAACAACTTTAATAGCGGGAAGCAGATTTCTCCGGTTGTGTTTTATGGGTCACCACAAGGTGTGCCTCCTAAACGACCATCACGGTTGTTGTTGCGATTGTTGTATGAAATTCGTGCTGATCTCACTGAACAAAGTAAATCGAGCTTAAGGTATTTGTGTGATTCCAGTTAATCTGCTGTATTCTATTCCAATGTGAAGTGTCTCAGGTCTTTTTCTTGTTTGTTCAGTGAGGAGATATGGTCTACATTTCCGCGGCAGGATGAAGCAATGAAGTTTGCTAAAGGGCATGAGAATGCTCGCGTTTTCAGTTATCAAGATCACTATAATGGCCAAAGAAGGTTCCTTGTTTCAACTTATAAGGAATTTTGGAAAAGGTTGTCTTGTCTTTACCCGTGTTATTTTGAAATAGTTGATAATAATAGCTGCACATCTTTGTCAAAGTCATTCTGCTGCACTCTGTAATTTCAGATACAAGAATGTGGACTCCAAGTTCCGCCACCATTATGAAGTGATTCAGGAGGTGAGAAACCTCTAGGTTCCGACCCCCCACCCCACCCCACTTAACCCTTTGGTTTACAGTTACTAAAGCTTGAATATGCATTGCTTTCAGGGTCTACCTTGCCATCTTTACTTCGACTTGGAGTTTAGTAGGAGGGAGAATGCAGAAAGAGATGGAGATGAAATGGTGGATCTTCTGATATCCGTCATATTAGAAGCCTTGCATGATAAATACTCAATTCAAGGAAATCATGAATGGATTTTGGAGCTTGATTCCTCTACTGATGGTATGGTTCCTTAGGAGATTCAATGGTCTACCGTCCTTCCCGTATCCATTGTGATGAAATCTTTGTATTTATGTATCCAAAAATGTTTCTTCAAAGTTTCTGAGGTACTTTGTGATAATGATAAATCTCTGAATTGATCATAAATGAACAAAAGACATGAGTTTTGTTTTGATTTTAGAACATGGCTACGTTACATGTAATTATATTGTGAGCGTTTCTGTTTTGAACTGATTGTTCATTTTTGTTCTATATCCGTTTGCATATCCACTTGCAGTGAAGTTCTCTCGGCATTTAATCATTCGCATACCAAAGTCAGCTTTTAAGGACAACTCACATGCAGGCGCATTTGTCAATGAGGTATGTCTTGGTGGTGAAGAAATGGCCCATGACTATTTATTGCTTGGTTAACATGATAAACTTGAGCAAAGAACTAGTAACTTAACCTTTGACTTTAAAATTGATTTTTTCTTTTATGTTTCATAGAGATGACGAACTCTCAGCATATATTGGCTAAACCTCAAATTGAGTTTACTTGCTTTTAGCTTATAAATCAATTAGTGATCCTATGTAAAACGATAATTTCATGAGTTACAAACCTACATTGGCACATTGTCTTTTTTGTTTTCATCTGTAAACAAAAATTACGAATTCTCTCTTATTTCAATTGTTGTTATTATCTGATGACATGTAATCAGATATGCTCGCGGATAATAAATGGAAGGGAAAAGAATGGGCAATTTGAAAAATTGTTTGTTAGAAAAGAGTCGACCTCTGTTGATTCCCCTGGTCAACTTTTTGTAGACACTGCTGTCTATTCCAGAAATCGCTGCTTTCGTTTAGCTCTTTCATCAAAGGCAGGGAAGAGTTCCGTACTTTTACCTACTGGGCGCTACAAAGCTAAAGATATGGTATGTTGTTTTTCTTATGAAGACTATTTTCAGTACACTAGCTATCTTGTTATAGATTAGTCAAAGTAATTTTTAAAAATGCTGGGATAGTTCAGATGCTTCCCGATGTTATACTTCTGCACTAATTTACTCGATCTCAAAGCATACCATGAATGGGACTTGCTTGAACTAGCCTTTTGATTTTGTTTTTTCTGCAAAGTGGATTTAGGGGGAAAAAAAAGTGCTTTTTGAACTGGAGATGTCCTGTGGTATAGTACAATTTTCATCCTTTTAAATTATTATATATGACTAACGGACCCTATAATTTAAAGTGCTTTCCATGTAAGGACACATAGTCTTTTTACATGTTTGGAAACTTGTAAGTTGGTAAGGCGAATTTATTTGTCTTTTTTGTTTTTAGTAGTAGGAGCTGGCTCATTTGCTTCTTTGAAAAAGTGTGTTTAATTTTTTTTTTCTTACAGTGTGAAGATGAGATGTTTATGGCGTCCTTGATCTGTAATATGGATGTTGATTGTGACAAACTTCTAGTTTGCAAAATGGATGTTCTTTGCATGAAGACACTTCAATTTGATACGGAGGTATGTGATTTGTTTCAGTCGTGGAAGTTCTAATACTCATCTTTTAGCGTGAGGATAACATCTCTGTTATGCTTATGCACGTATCTAAATTTTAATGTCAACTTTGATATTTTAAACATAGCCAATACCTTTCAAATACAGGTAAACCATAGTTCCGGAAGACGTTATTGTTCCCCTCAAGAGCTGACACTGGATGGTTGTAGAGTTGATGCTTCAACAACATACTTTATGGGGAAATCTCCATTCCCTGCTTTGGATGCATTCATAGAATCTGTCGCCTCAATTGGAAACACACCAGGTGGTAGCATAATTTTCAATTTGCTTCTATTCAGTTAGCTAAACTTTAATGTATGCAAATCTAATTTCATTTTCTTCCTTCTATTCAGTTAGCTAAACTTTAATGTATGCAATCTAATTTCATTTTCTTCCATTCTGTGTTAGTGAGCTTCTTCAAGATTGGTCTCCTGGGCCCAAAACTATCCCTTTCTTTTTCTTTTCCTAAATTTAATTAATTATTTATTTTTCTCAAAAAACTGCAATCGCTACTTATAATCTGCACCATGACTCATGAATAAACTAACCTGTAGCGAAATTTCCAATATTTATTGTTGTTAACTTGCAATTCCAGGAAAAATCCGCTCCTGGTACTTGTTCTCAGAATATGGGCTTATGGTCTACAGCATGTCAAGAAACAGATACTGTGAGCGAATTGGTAGAGAGCATAAAAGTAATCATGGTAAAGCATCTTTTTGCTCCAGTATTTTCTTTAGTCTTGAGTCCACTTTAGTAATGGTTCTCATTCATCGTTCATCTGATAGAAACATCAATAATGAAATACCCAATACCCAGAATAAATACATTGTTATTCTTTTTTTTTCCCTTTCCTTTTTGTTCCCCAGATAATAGTTTTAGCTGCATTTTCTTAACATCACTCTCTTTTTTCTCTGTTAAAATGTGACTAAGCTTATTCATAATCATTCTGTTGCAACATCCTCTACCTACTATTTTGCACTCTAAAATTTGAAGTATCTTATTTATTTGCGTGATTAATTAATTGCTTAGTGATGTACGTTGTGGTCCTGAGACGAGCGGATTATTATCAGAAATGTCATGACCCTGATTGCAGAGGTGATAGCATAAACCAGTGCCGTTTTTTTTTTTTTTTCTTTTCAGCTTTTCTTATTGTAAGCTATGGGGCAATAGTTTTATTCTCAGCTCATTGTTTGCAACAGGTTATCGTTCTCCCTTGCGTCCAATTCCTTGGGATATTATACCCGAAACTGTGCATCATGAAGGCTCTGGTGTTCATAACCTGGAACAGTACAACGATGAAAATACAGCTAACAGTTCCACCCCAGATTCATGGTGGCTTGAAGCCATGAGATTTGCAGATAATGTTGAAAGAATGCCGGATTTATCAGAGCTCAGCAAGATGGTTAGCCTTCTCTTCTCTAGCAAAAAACTCGGTCAAATATTCTTTGGCTTGGAAGCTGAAATGGCAAAGAAAACATCCTTGTTCCTTTTTGTTCGAGTTTAACTTATTCCTTTTCTCTGCAAACACCAAACAGGAAAACATCAGTGATGAGGATGAGAATTGGTGGCTTGCTGTGGAGAGGGCTGTTTCGCAGACTGAACTTTCCCACGTATTAATTTAAGATCCCGTACAGTCGGATGTAAATACTTGAGTTGTGGACCGACGACACGTACATTCAGTGCCAAAGAACATGAATGCTTTAGCCAAAGGGTGATTTTCTCTGTAGCATTCTTCCTGTTGAGAGAAAAGTAGCTTCCTAACAAAGTGAAGTTTCTGCTGCTCTCTTCAAAGGATTGTGGAGTTCAATCTCCTCCTCTTGTGAGAAAGCAACTGCATATGCAAGTTATGCCTTATCTTGCGCCTAGAGTCAGACCTTGTTGAATTGGAAAGGCATAAAATTGTACACATTGTGACTTCTCGGAGGAAGCTGCTCGGTTCCAACTTGTTAGGCCATTATGTCAATACACAAATAAGTGTCCCCAACGGTTGGATATTTATGTCATGTTCTCTGGTCTACTGTGTTTTCACCAAGTCTTAAGCAACTAGATGTACTTATTACTCTGGACCAGGATCGAATAACTAAACGACATGTCAATATGTTTGCCATAGAGAGCTTTCTTTTTTTTTTTTTCCTAGAAAACTACGTTGGATTGGGTCCTTGATAATAAAAATAGGTACCTTGAAATGCCCAAAAAAAAAAAAAGTTGTCATTTGACACCCAAAAAAGTGTCATTTGATGCCCTTTCGGAACAAGAAATGTCTTTCTCGTCTTGTTAGGCAAAAAGTAAGGGAAACTAAGATTTAAAAAAAAAAATATGTATAAAAAAAAAAAAACAACTTTTTTTTTTTTTTTTTTTTTTTCTAAGTCAATCTGCATATTTCAGTCACTAATAAATCATCATTTGTTGCTGTGCCACCACCACTAGTACTAGTTACTAAAGTATATAAATAAACATTTTCCCTTCAATTTGATAGTAAGTATCAACTCACTAATTCGATTAAATGCAGTTTATCAATATATAGTTTTCCTTTTTTTTAAGCAACCTCTACGGTGGAACCTTAAAAAACCTTATCGGTAGAACTTACATTTTTAATCGTTAAATTAATTTCTCAACGATTAAATTTGTACAAATTCATATTAAATTTACAGTGCGCTACACAGAACTGCTCATGTTGCAGATTTAACGTTTAAAAATTAATCTAACAGTAGAAAGACAATGCTCTATCAGTGATTTTTTTTCAATCTCACGGTAAAAAATGTCCACTTTTTTTTTTTTGGGACCACCATTTTTTCTTTTAACCTAATGAGGGAGTTGGAGTTGGAGTTGCTCTTAAGCAAGCTTTCTAGTCAACCAAGCAGTTTTTCTTGTTATACATTCATTTAACGAACTTTCATTTAACGAAGAACTTACTAAATAAAATTGTTGTTGTTTTTTTTTTTTTTTTTTTTTTTGAAGTGTTAGCGTTAAAGGCTCAAAGCCGTTCCGATCAAGGAATAGACTCCATTTGTCTTCGAATTAGCCATGATTCACAACTCGTGCAGCCTTTATTGACATATATCTTGCAGTCTTCATCTCCCTTGACCTCCCTCTCTCCTCTTTCTCTCCCGTCCCCAAACACACACCAAGAGACCTTTCCCTCCTCGCCAATGGCTTCCACAACCATCGCCATAACATCCCCAATCTTCATCACCACTCAATCCTTACACACCATCCTCTCTCACCAAACTCTTATCGACCACTTCCATTCGTCTCTCCCCACAGTCTCTGCTTCTCTCTCTACCCCACTCCGCCAAAACCACGCCGTTTCACCCACCTCCTCTCTCCTCCTCATGCCCTCTTGGTCCACCTCTCCTTCTCTCCCTTACATAGGCGTCAAGCTAGTCACTTACTTCCCTCAAAACTCCACCTTAAGTTTACCCGGCATTCACGCCAGTTACGTCCTCTTCAGCTCCGCAACTGGGCAGACCTTGGCTTCCATGGACGGAACTGCACTGACCCTTTTCAGAACTTCATGCGTTTCTGGCTTGGCTTCCCGGATTTTGGCCAGAGACGACAGCAAAGTCCTCGTCATGGTCGGTGCGGGCGCTTTGGCGCCACATTTGATCAAGGCCCATCTCGCCGCGAGACCCGGTTTGGAGAGAGTTGTCATCTGGAACCGCACGGTGGAGAAAGCTAGAAACTTGGCTGAACAACTGCAACAAAGTTCGGGGCTTGACGGGGTTTGTTTCGAGAGTAATGGGTGCTTGGAGGAAGTTGTTGGGATGGGAGATATTGTGAGCTGCGCAACAAACTCGGAGGCGCCTCTTGTGAAGGGCCAGAAGCTGAAGCCAGGGGCACATCTTGACTTGGTTGGGTCATTCAAGCACTCAATGAGGGAGTGTGATGACGAGGCGATTCGGAGAGGTAGAGTTTTTGTGGACAATGAGGCTGCGCTGGTGGAGGCAGGAGAGTTGGTGGGTGCTTTTGAGAGAGGTGTGATTACGAAAGAAGACATTGGAGGGAATTTGGTGGAACTTATAATGGGGGAGAAGGTTGGAAGAAGAGATTCTGAGGAGGTTACTGTGTTTAAGTCTGTTGGATCCGCAGCGGTGGATATTCTTGCTGCACAATTGGTGTATGAGACCTATTTGCAGCAAAATAACTAGCTAGTATTGTTTTCTTGCTTTAGATTTTCTGATATGTCGACTATAAACTTGTTTATTCAATTTCTTGCCTTGTAGCTTCTTTGAGCACAGTGATTGGGGATGAAATGATGGAGTATTAATAACACTTACTGGTGTCCGTAGATACTGCAATAGTGAGATATTATTGCAGCTGAGATTTAGTTAGTTGGCACTATCCAATATCCATGCGTGTTCTCTAGTTGCTAAGATTTCAGCATAAAGCAGTTTAAAAGGTGAAGATTAAAGCGGAGCTTTGAAAAGAATGAATCATCATAATCGTTGATTGCAACTTACAAATTCATGAGCAAGCTCATAATCGTTGATTGAAACTTACAAATTCATGAGCTGCTTGACCCAGCATGTGCCCCCGTCCCTCTCTCACTCTCTCTCTCGCTCTCTCTCTCTCCCTCCCTCCCTGCTTAACCATTACAATGTCATTCCCTACTACTTATATTCAAGTTGCAACCTTGAGGGCCAGACAATCCAGATAGAACCAAACAAGGTGACTGTGGACACTGTTGCCAATATTAGCATTCATTTTGCTGAGTTTGCTTGATCTTTTGTGGCTTCTGGTGGATCCTTGGAAATAATATATCATTTAGTTGTCTCTCAGCACTGTACTCAGAGGTCGCCTGGAAAGAAGCATTAATTGCACAATCATTGGCCATGTCACCTATAAACAATGGCATACTGTGCTATATGGTTCATAATGCAAGAAAGATGACTTGGGAAGATTCATGGGACAATGGTGGATTGTTTTCCCAAGTTGTACATTTGTAATTAAAAACATATCGGGGATAATTAGCATACCCGAGAATCAAATCCGAACCGCAAGGTCTGTACTTGTGTTCCCGAACAAATCCTCAAATCAATTCCAAGGGAATCAACACCAATAATTACTGCCTCCTGTGATTGACGTTAAATGGCATAAATTCTTCACTCATATATAATAGTTCATTCATTGTTAATAATTGGTATCAAAATGACTTTTCACACTATTTTATGTGTAAAAGGGGCTTAAATCTTGATGCTAAAAAACATATAAGGTTCCTCAAAATCCTAGAACCAGTAGTATTCAAAAACAACTCAGAAACATATTTTACGGCTCTTAACTTACCTCCACTTGAATACCCTTTAATCGCCAACATAGAGACTTAAGAGCTTGTGTAGTCTTTTCTCCACCAGCTTTCAGGCGAGATATAATTTTAGTGGCCGAGTGTGCAATGGGATCGGGTTGAGCTTTCATGAAGTCTTCTATTTCAACAAGAGTCTGTGGAGAAGCAGGGAAAGAGGACTT